CCTTGATGCAGTAATTAATGCAAAAGGAGGCCCAACAAAGTACTGAGGACATAATACAGTACATTAACACACTTTTCAGAAGGCCAACATGTGTTTAAGATCCTTTTTTTATTGGTCACATGAAATATTCTAATTTTGTGAAATACTGGATTTGGGTTTTTTTTGTCTTTAATCCATAATCATCAAAATTAAAACAAATAAAGGCTTGAAATATTTCACTTTGTGTGTAGTGAACTAATATAACATATAAGTTTCACTTTTTGAAACAAATTATTGAAATAAATGGACTTTCCCTCGATATTCTAATTTTTTGGCACATACCTGTAGGGCACTGGTAGCTGAACTTAGTCTGCAGGCTCACATCTGACAAAAAAGGAAACGGTACATCCTGGAGCTAGCTGAGCAGTGGGAAAACACACTGCTTTGGTGAAAGTTCGCCCGACACTCCACAGTAGTTACTGATTACACAGCATTTAAAGCAGTGAATAATGCAGTTTGGGATTGAAAACCTGCTGGCACAGCACACTAACCTGGTTAAGAGATGTCATGTGTCAGTGACTGTAGCTTGCTCTGATGCTACCTGTTAATTAGCAGTTCCTCCTCGATTCGAGCACTGTTCCAGTGTCGTCCTCTGTGACCAATTATTCGGTGCTTCTCATCATTCGTTTCCTCCCTGAGAAATATTTTTCACTCATCTGAAAAAAGCTAAATGTCAGTGAACACAGGTCAGCATTCTCAAAAGAAAAATGGCAGTTGTATAAGTCACTTCGCCCTAGCCCACAAGTCAAGCAAACTGACCCTTAACAATAACGCTACTTTGCCAGAATTACAAAAGGACATATTTTCTCACTTACCTCAGGTACTGTAGTATTTGTTTTCTTTCATTTTCTTTGAGCTGTCTCTAGAACGTGATTGGAGTCCACCTGTGGCAAATTGAATTGATTTGACATAGTTTAGAAAGGCACTGTAACTGTCTATATATGGTCCTGCAATTCATAATACATGTCAGGATAAAAACCAGGCCATGCAGTCCAAGAAACTCTCTGCAGACCCCTCTCTGTGATAAAATTGTGTCATGGCACAGATCAGGCCAAAGGTTTAAAACCATTTCTAAAGCGTTGTGTTCCCAGAGCACAGTGGCCTCAATAATTGGCCCAGTGAAAGTCCAGACTAAACCCCACAGAACATTTGTGGAGTAACTGGAAGATGGCAGTTCACAGATACTTCTCATCCAATATGACAGAGCTTGAGAGGATCTGCCAGGGAAAATGGGATAAACTGCCCAAATCCAGATGTGAAAAGCTTGTAGAGACAATTGACTCTATATACAATGGACATGGTATCACTTCTCTCCACTATGCAAAAATGAAGCCAAAATATTGTGAACACAGAGGCTTCCATCTTGATCACCAGTCAAAGCTGTGAAGTCAACTGAAATACCCCTCTTTTTATATCATCAAATAACGTAAAAACAGACTTACCAGAAAAATGGCTACTTGTACACACATCAGTGTGATAATACCAAAACCCACAGAAGTGACCTCTGAGAAAAACGTTTCTGAGTTGTGCTTTGCATTTATAGTTTGATTCATGTCCCATTTACTAACATGGAGGAGGCAAGATTTGTGACTTATAATGCAACCAGCCACAAGGAGGCGATCACAGAGATTGTGATTGGAGAGACTTTGACTTGCTGAGGGGGCTTCTACAAAGCACTGAAATGAAGCGTTTGATATATATTCTAGTGAATGAGATATTTCAGTTTTTGATTTTTAATGAATTTGCAAACATTTCATGTTTTCCCTTTGTGATTAAGTTTTTGATTTTTAATGAATTTGCAAATATTTCATGTTTTCCCTTTGGATAGCAAGTGTAGTTAAATGAGCGAAAATGGTTATTTTACCCATTTAAAATGAAAACTAAAACACAGATGTCAAAATGTGAAAGGGTCTGAACGCTTTCTGAAACCACAGTGTAAATGGAAGGAGAAACGAGAGCAGCATAGCTAGAGAAAGAGTTTTATGAGTTACATAAAGTGTTGTAGCCCTAACCTATTGCAAAATGCAACATCTCTTGTCTCAGCATTGCATTCTGGTCTATGGAGGCAGCTGTCAGTGTGAAGCTGTTATCTTAGCTTCTCCAATGATGGATTTCTCCCTGTACGATTGCTGAGTGCCAGTGAAAATGGTAAGTCCAGAAAGAAGCCTTTCTCTTTGATTTGGAAGGGCTGACAATGAAGCCTGACATTTACCTTTGATGTTTTATATTTTTAAAGGTGTTTCTGCTGTCATGCTTCATTGCAGCTGTTCTAGAAATATCTTGACATAAGATCACAGTCTCCATGACTGGTTTGTTATCCAGAGGAATAACATAAAAAGATTACAACACATAAAAATAGGACCAGAAATGTAAGCTACATCACCACCACCACCAGTGCTTTGGGTGTTAGGTTAAGTGTTTACCCGTAATCAAATTTAAATCCAGACATTTAGGTTGTGTATCTGTGCAGGTTGTCTTGAAACCTCCAGGTTTATTCAAACAGCGGCGCTTTCTCCAATCCAGGTTTCACAGATTAGATAAGGCATAAATGGCTGGTATATGCTCACAGAGGGCCTGTAGATTGATTCACCTAGAGTCACTCCTGCACTCCACATTGAAACTAATTACCACTGAGTAGACCTTATTCAACAGCTGAAATGCCACTGACATGAGGCACCAGAAAAATAATATGCTACATTAGAGAAGCCCTGCTATTACTGGGGTGCACTTGTGCTATTTATCTGAGTATTGATTGTGTAATTATATGAAGTGGATCAGACAAAGTAGATAAAAACTTACTCTGTAATGTTTCTTTTTTCTCTATATTGTATGGCATTTCCCTGGTATGACATTTGTGCTGTGTATTGCTTATGAAAATGTCTGAACCTTTATAAAAACCTAAAATGTACATTTTGGTTTGTGTGCAAACTTGTAAGCCCAAATACACAGTATAAGGAATAAATTCTTGTATTCTTCTATCATTTCATACTTTCACACAAACCTTCATATGATACACCCATTATATGCATACACTTCTAAATACCTCTACTGAGTTGGAGAAGACATCTCCTGGTTAACAGAAGAAGAAACATTTTGGTTATAATCCAGACTTGTGGTTTCTGTGATTAGATAATGTGTATCTGTTATACACAACTATATATATAAGACCACAGTATTTTAAGTTTATTTCTACAGTATTTTATTCTGGAAGTCTTTTCCATTGCCAGATGTCAGCATCTGTCTCCTAAGTCCTATAAACCTACTTCCTTTCTCCTAATGACCTGTGTACCTTACCTGAATTCGAAAGGCTTTGATCTCAGCTGCCCAATTGAAGTAAACAAAAGGAGTAAACACTCCAGACTTGAAGTAAACAGCTCCAAGTATAGATTTTGTGGATGGGAGCCGCTGGATACGTAGAAATGCTGTGTAGTGGGTTTGTATACCAATGTCTCTGCGGTATCCTTATGCTGCTGTGGGAAATGCCAGTGAATATGATGGGTCTTCAAATTCAGAACAGTGTGGTATAAACAGCAATGGTCCATGGACTTCAAACAGTGGCAGGACTCATGCCAGGATCTGATCAACCCTAGTGGCAAGAATACATACATGAATTAAGCTGTCAAATGTGAGCTACATAATACATAGTAATATTACATATATATAATTTTTTTGTCTTGACTTGGTAAAATAGGTTTGCTGTGTATTTGTGAATAAGTGGGAGTTAAAACACTACATACAAAAGACATAAAATAAAACATGTTTCAGACTTTTTTTTTTTTACCAAACATCTTGTGAGACATTATGTGCACCAAACTCCTTCAAGGCCAGATTGTTTCTTCATCAATGAAGTTAACAAAGCTGGAATTCTGATAGAATTCTTGATTACATAGTAGATATCATTCTAGAGTACAATAAATGTTTGAAAAATACATAAAACCTTCTCGTTCTTTTTTTCAGTGTTCAACAGTGGTATAGTAAGTGAAGTAAAAATGACAATTCATTTTTGTATGTCATTTTCTTTAGTACTTCTTTAGTACTTGACAGATAACAGGAAAATACAAGGGTTTGTTTTCAAGAGAATACAAGAAATTTAACAGTGCTCTGTACATTAACATATAGTAGTCAGTGTGGTGTATACCTGGCACAGCTAAGTGAGCTGTGCAGGTCGTGCAGTGTTTTCCATGGGTGGGAAAATACAGTCCAATTCGATCTTCAATTACATGTTGTAAGAAGACTAAGTTTCTATTAGCAGTTTGAAGAAAACACAAATATGCACCGTTACCAAAGCAGCATTACAAATGAAGACATAAAATTCACAGAAGGTGAAGCAGTAATTGATTTTGAGATGTATCATGTAATGCACAACATATTTACACACAAGTAATTAGTGGGGAAAAATGGGAAAACCATTACAAAATAATGTGTGAAGATGCTATTAGATACTTAGTCTGTGAAAGTAATGTCACCATATTGAGCGGACCACACCAACAATAAGCACAAAACAGCCAAGTTAGGTTTAGTTCAGAATCCTACACTCATCCTGAGAGGCCATAATTTAAAGTTAAAACTGAAACACTTCCAGGTGGCTGCTACTTTTCTCATTTTCATGGCCAATCATCTTGATGCTGTGGCTGAAGGATGGGCTTGGACTATAAGAATAATGTCCCATCTTAGATGGTAACACGATTGAATATTACTATACATTAGAATCAGGTCATTATTCATTTGAATAACATAGAACTCAGAGAGGACATGCAGTAAACCAAACTGAAGTCCCAATCCAGGATTTACAACTGTGTCAAATGTGTGTCTATATACATGTGGAATATTGAAACATATGATTTAGTGATGTAACAAAACCTCATGGCAGCTTTTAGTTAAGTGAAAAAGGAAAGACTGTTTTGTTCTAGTATTTACAATGTTGCTGTAAGCAAACCATTTCCATCTCAAGATCACATTTAACGATTGTCTTCAGTTGTCACACATAGTGTCTTCAGTCAATGAATAAGGAGCTGGGGGGCGCCTTAACACCATATCCTGAATTTTATGCTTTTGTTCCATATGAAACTGGCATTTGTATAGCAGCACTGCCATTAAGAGAACAATTCTGGATTGGGGCTTTAATAAGGTTGTATGGGCCAAAAAGCAGATAGGATGGCAATAAAATGTACATTTTGAATGACAAATAAAGCTTGCTCATTATGAGGACAAAGGGAGCATGTTTGTTTTCTCATGGGATCAGCAAAATCAGTCAGTTAACATAAAATAAAAATCCAAGCCCTTAGCAAAGAATTAAGGAAAATGACAGAAACAAATTTTATCCCATGGTTGTTTCATTAATCCTGAAAAGAAATCAAAGCTGGAATAACATCAGCCTTCAAAAGTCCTCTTCAGTCATCCACTCTAATACTAAAAAGCATATGTTATGCTAATAGGGCAACTACAATTAAAAATACTATTAGCTCTGCTGTTATCATGCTCACAGTGACTACATGTCTGGCTACCTCAGAATGTTTTGGTTGAAATCTCACAAGATATTTTATGCTCTTTCAAAACCCGCCAGATCTTTCCTGTTTCTGTTATGTTAAAACCAATGTAAACCTTTAAAAGCTCAACACAGCATTTCACACTTCTGCACAACAAAACCTGAACATGGCATCCACTGGCTGTGTTGTATTCAACCATCCTGAGATACAGTGTACATGTTCGTATAACCACACCCATGGCATCTACGTATTGTAGCTCTTGTGCCTCTAGCAACACCACTGAAAAGCTATTACTCTCTGTCCCTGACCATAAAGTTCACACAAAGCAAATCTGTGACCTCCAGATGTTAAGTTCACTAGAGTATATTAAACTAAATGGAGATTACATACATACCACAATGTGTTTGAAAACAGCACGACAATATGGGACAGCCATGATTTAAATGATGAAGCAAAAGTAATCTTCTTAATGGGTAGAAAACATTTCCTGCAGAGTTTAGTCTAGTGTTCAGTGAAAATGTTTCCAACTAGTACATTATATGAGTTTTTTTTTATTTTCCTGGAGGCCAGTTGAACATGAGGAAGGGAAATAAACCATAAAAAGACTGGATCTGTTACAATTCTGGTGCATAGCAAATGCCCATGGTCAACAGTCAAATGTGATACTAATTTGTTAAAGAGCTACAGTTCTGTTAAGATGTTGCCGAAGAGAACCCTCTACTCACCACAAGATTATAACATTTCAACCAACTTTCTGCTCCTCTTGTTTGGAGTAGGTTACTAGCTGAACGTTCATGACAGAGGCGACTCTGGCTTGATACAATATATACATATAATAGAGAGGAATGTCTGCGTTTATGTAGGCCCGACATGGCATGCGTGTAGTGCATGATAACATATTTACTTTTGTAATGTGTATGAATTATTATATAATTACAAACATTTACAAATTTGGAAAAAAAAAGTGGCTAATTGTGCCTCAAGATCCTGTTCCATGCAAAGACTGTGAGAAAGCCTCACATCACACACTATTTTATACCTCATGCTCGAGATCAGTAGTAGTACGTTAAATAGTTTCTCTTACTACACTGTCTCTAGCCTTAGTGACAAACCAGGGTGTCTGTTGACTGATATAAGAAGTGAAATGTGACCATTTTGATAAGGCATTAGATTTGTTCAGAACCAGGAGGACTTGTAGAGCTCTACTTGTGGCTACCTATGAAATATAGAAAAATGTAAGTTATGAACATGATTATAAATCACGAGTGTGCTGCACCGAGTGCAACAGTGAAGTTTTGCCATTAAAAGAACACTTTCCCCACTTTGGCAAAAACAAATGATTTCTAAACATAAATTTCATGAGAGTCTTTGAATGTTTTTGTTCATCAAAGGCCTCTTAGCTTGGAGTAGGTATAATTATGCAGTTCTAGTGAGCCAGCAATAAACACAGTCAGTACTCTTCTACACTCCTGTCCATATCAGGCTTTGTCTAGAATCAGATTCTCAAAATAAGGGAGCTTGGGGAGCTCCACATCTGGCCATGGCTCAGCTTCCCAGTAAATTTTCCTATAGCCAAGATTTACAGATGTCTCTAGTGACTGAGATCCTCTGGTTAAGTCTTTGGCTTCCTGGCATTATCTTCTATGTGAGTGTGTATGAGATTACAGCACTGTGCAAACTAAATGGAACAAACCCTAACCAAAAACAACAGCTGGCCTTTTAGTCTGTGAAAAAAATTTTCTTTAACTTAGGTGAGAAAGAGAAAAATAGAAAGGAATGTTTCTTTAGAAAGCTGAGAGCAGTGTTTCACACTGAACCTCTTATCTCAGGCTATTTCTTTTATTCTGCGCATGTAATCATGCAGTTCCTCTGGGTCTTGAAAGCCCATATCCTGGCAAACCCACTGAATGTCCTCTTCATCTGCTATGGGGATGGAGTTGTAGGGCAGCTCCTCTGTGGGAAGGGTGGTAAAGGTGGTAAACTTGACTCTCTTGCGCTTGGAGGTGGGTGAACTGGCGTCCTCGCCGTTCTCTTTCGTAGAACCTCCAGAGCTGCCGTCACCCCGGCCATGTACCTGGCTTTGAACGCTAGTCTGGGAGCTGCCACTGCTATGGTGGTCTCCATGGCAGCAAGTCTGTACACCCTCCAAAGGGTTACTAGGACTTTCTACCTGCTGTGGTGATAGATCACACTGGGCCCTCAGTGGCTGGCCATTTCCCAGGAACACCCAGTGGTGGGAATGGTCCATGTTGGCCTGACCCTCAGGTGGAATTCGCTTATGGCGGTATTTAAGCACAAAGACAATGCAGTTGATGAGAAAGACTAAGATGGCCAGGCAGAAGACTCCTAGTAGAGCATACATGCCAATCTCAAGGTCGGTCATGTTCCGAGGTGAATGCACAAACTCGTCTCCCTCCTCTTCGTCGCTCTCAGTGGGTCGCTCCTGGTTGCTAATAGTGGGGAAATTGGTGTAATCGATGGGAACACTAGCAGGCTGCTCATTAGATGTCTCATAAACTCTTCCACTGATGTTTGGATCAATGACAGGACGCCTGGTGATGGGTGCCAGCTCAATCTCGCCCTCAGTGGTTGCTTCTTCCTCAGAGTCTTCCTCTGGCCCAAAGCGGACCTTGACATAAACTGTAGCAGATGCAATGACACTTTTGCGCTTGGTCTTCTGGCAAGCCTCACAGATGGCCATCTCTACACGCACCATCTCGCCAGATCCCTCTCCTTCTGCCACCACCATGGGCCACCTTTGCTGAGGCTCCTGTGATACTGACACAACTTTGTCATCCAGTGTGGAGGCATTGAGGTTGTAGTCTTTGGGATCAAAGTAAGTCAGAGTGGCTGCTGTGTTGTCACTGAAAAGCATCCAGAAGGACAAACAGGCCTCCTGACAGACAACAACAGAGAAACACAGGTTAGATATTTCTTTTAACAGTACAAAATCATTTTTGTTTATTGCGAAACCTAAACAAAAAGACTACGCCATGACTAAATTTTGCTGATCTCCCTGTAAAGTGTTGTGGATATCTGAATATTTGTTAGTGGCACACCAGAAATTGAATCCGCTGTCTGTCCTCAGCTAGTATTAACATTGTAATCACAATGGAAGCTAAATGTTTTTTTATATCTATGTACTGCATAACCTCAGAATCAGAAGTCTATTGAAAACTCTGTCATGAAAAGGCAGGAGAAAGTCTGCTTTTGCAGTAGATGTACTTTCCAAAAGTTGTTTTCTGGCCTGTAGAGAAAACTTTTTTTTAAGTTATTCTTATCAAGATCAATTTGAAAATGACCTACAGAGGTGAGGTAGATGATATCACTACAGATTCTTCTTTAAGGAGAAAAGTTATATATACTGTAGTAGGTTTAAGACTTGCTGCATTATTACAAATACTCTGCCTTGTGTTTATATCTCTCCAAAGAATTTCAGTGGTTTAGGTTCCTTTCTTTCATGGCATTGATGTGATTTGAACATTTGTTCCCAACTGAACCTTTGAAGTTTTGGACTTGCTCCAATCCCTAAACCTCCAGAGCATTTGCGAACATCTGTGGTATCATGTGCTCAGAACGAGCCTTGACACACACATGGACGGCCTGCCTCTGATGTGCACACCAGCAAACCACTTTCATGCATGAAGGAGGAAGGGGTGGCAGGACAGACTGTGCTGTCCTGTAGGTTACACGACCGCTCTACTCTGCAGCACAGACAGATAAGGCACATACAACAGCAGCATGTGCTTTGAATGATGAGCACTAGTCCGCCTCTTCTCATTTGCCACACACTAAACCTCAACACTGTTGTCCATGTAATCAAGGCTGCATTTGACAGTTGCTTTTGTTCACAGTTTGCTTAAACATCAGCAAACAGAACCATTATTAGGGCAAGCAAAGGGGAAGATAGTTTTAGGCCTCTTTCTTTGCAGAGGGCAGTTTGTTCCAGTATGGGAGAAGACTCCTCTGGGGCAGTAGATTTCCAACAGGAGCCAAACTTCTATCATCTCACTGTGACAGAACAAATGTTTTTGTAGGATGACTCTGGTAACAAAAAGGCTGATGAAGGCTGAAAAACAGTCAACGTGCGGGTGTTACTGTACGCTGACAAAAACTATATTTGTTTTTCTATGCTGATCCAATGTATGAAAGTTATACATGTGTAGGAGGTGTTTTTTGGTTCAGTCTAGGGGTAAAGTTACTAAAAAAAGAGTAGCTTCTTTGTTGAAACAGGCAACTGGGGCATCAATTAAATTCAGTTTTATTTGTATAGCGCCAAATCACAACAAAAGTAATCTCAGGACACTTCACAAAGTAAGATGTAGACCTTACTATTAATACTATTATAGAAACAGTTTAACAGTTGGATACAGATCCTGACGGGGGAACAGATTTGACACAAGACCCGTCCATGGGAACTCCGGTGGATTCTCCAGCTGACAACCAGCTGACTGGGAGCTCTGCTCTTGCTACCATTTAGATCAGGGGCAGTAGGGTTGTTCCTGCTTTGTGAACTAAAAACCGATACACAAGGAACTAGTAGTGTAATCTAACAAAAACACTAAACTCTTTTTTAAACCAGTTTTATTAGAATTCTTAAGTTGTACAGTATATAGAAAATATTTTTCACGTACAAACATATCAACAAAGTAGACAAACACACTAAACTAGTAACGTTAGCCAAATGAAGCACACAAAACACCACCCCACACACACACACACACACACACACACACACACACACACACACACACACACACACACAATCCTATCCTTTATTTCCTCAATTTCTCTGATTTGTGCTTAATGGAAACAATGAATAAAGTGTATGTGCATTTAAATTGAACCTAAGCAGCTTGGATTATAAAATATGCAGATGCAGAAAAAAAAAATCCCCTGGAAATATTCTCAGGCATATACATCTATTTGAAAAGTAATATGACTATTTATTTTCATAAATACCTTATTAAGTTTCTAATTTAAACAGTGGGTAAGTCAAAGCAAAAAAAAGGTTTATGATGAACCTTCAAATTCTGAAGCTCTTAGTTCTGAAATACTTGTACTTTGTCAAGTGGAGAAGAGAATAATGCAAAGAGACCTTGGTTTTCCAACACTCCCCATCCGCAGTTTATGTGTTTCATTCATTTCTAGAGTAATAGAGGACATTTAGAAAGTTTTCCTCTGAAACAGAATCAAATGGCTTGAAATAGCTCCAGTAGTCCTCTGAGAGCTTTGCCGACAGAGGAACTGGCTGTCTTTTATGGCCCGGCCTTGGAGAGCACTTAAGACAATACATTACAATAATTAAATTTCAAGGTGGCCAAGAAGTGGAAAGCAAGAAAAATTGGAATTTAATGCTCGCTTCTCTCTCACTGATGCTTGATGTGGTTGCTGTTGCCTTTTTAGCAGCTTACAGGCCAATGAAAGGGCAAAGCAGGAAAAGAGCTCTGACACACACACTTCTTCCTACTGTAGATAAGGGTTGCCAATGAAGTTTTCTAGAGAATTGCAGAGATCTTTTCTCTAGTTTGAAGAGAGCAATGATGAATACAGCTCACTTTTCTGCATCATCCAGACACCTGCTCACTTCTCACTTGAGCAACAAAATCAGCTTGGGATAATGTATCTGGGTATATCAGAAGTATTTAGCTAGGCTAGGCTAATACAGAGGTTGTTAAAAAACTGTACCAGAGATGCTTATTAGTTCACTGCAGCTGCCTCTACCGGGTGTCCTTGCTAACAGTGCTGGCAGGAGCTTATAAGATTTAGCTCAAAAATAATTTTATTACTGAGAAGTGAGACTAGTGCCTGTTTGTTTGATAGAGCCACTGAAGGGATTTGCAAATAAACTTAATTTTACCTCTGGGGAGAGAAATAAGGAAACACAGTAAGCACTCATGTTAGTTAGGCATAGTTTTTTAGCCATGATAGTACAAGCACTGCTGCATATGCTGTAGTAAGTAATGACAATTCAACTACCGTATGCATGCAGAAGTTAGTGGTATTACGTTTAGACCCCAAGTAGAGGTGTCGATCTATCCCTCTCAATTTTTTCAGTATGTATCTACATACATAGTCTATGATTTAATATAAAATATACAGAGACATTTTTAAAGATTCAATGCTGATTTGATTCAGCTGCAATTTAATACTAGAGAAATGCATTTTCTGTTGAAAATGCGTGTGGATGCTGTGTGCTGAAAGATTGCCCTGAAAATGCTGAACATTTTGACACGTGAAAGGGATATTTACCTGAAAGTATGCTGAAGTACAATTTTCCCATTAATTTGAATGGGGCAAGATTGTCAAAATAAAGCTAAATATTTCAAAAGTATGAAGTTTAGAAATGACTGTCCTTGAAGAGCTGAACATTTTGATACCTGAATGGCTTTGCTAGCTGAAAGTATGCTGAACTTATTAAAGATGGAATTAGAGGGGGAGGGCGAAAGAGAGAGAGACAGACAGACAGAGAGGAGTTTATTTTATGAACCACCAGATGGCACTCCAAGACTGTGTCATTGACTCAGCACTTTGAGCTCCCATTGACTTGTATTGCAAAAAAAAGCTGAATAGATTAAAAAGTATAAATGTTATAAAAAAAAAAGTTGAGTACAAGCAGGGATGTCCTTGAAGAGTTGAACAGATCAAGACCGCATCCACACAATAAAGAACAAGAGAGCACAGTGTGGATGCTTTACAGCATCCACACAATTAATATTTGAGATACAACAGAATAAAATGCTCTAATATTTCAGGCTGCTTTGGACAGGGTAGAGTTTGGTGGTGTTATTGCATGTGTGTGTATGTTGGGGGGGGGGTTAGCTAGTTATGCACATAGTTGTTTTGTTTTTCCCTGCAGAATGATATTGCATTGACCTACATTGCACTGACAACATTAAAAAAAGTGTCATTTGTAGCAGCAGCAGGGCTGAACAAAGCCTGACCAGTGATTTTACTTGGTCCGAACAAAACCACTGGACAGCCTACCTGCCTGTCAGTCAAATTCCTACTTGTGCATAGTCTGCCCTTGTGCTCACTGTGAGAGCTTTGTGTTTTGTTTTTATAGATAAAGCTAGTGAGCTATGCCAGAGAAGGTACCCACAGCAGCTTTTGGTCGCAAATGGAGACCATATTCAAGAATGTCACAACTTAAAATAAATTGGATGCTGCAAGAAGGAAAACCAGAATTAGCATTGGTGTGGCCTTTGAACGACAGTGACAACAGAGAACAAAAGGGGCTGAAAAGTGATGCCATGGTGGTCGTATTACTGCTGGACAGAATTATCAGTTTTGTTTTGTGTGGGGGACCTTCGTTTCCTGAAATCTGTAAACCTCAAAAACCTAATGGTTTACCTCAGGGGAACAAGCTCTCTGTTTCCCAGCTGGAATTAAGCACCCATAATGCAAGAGTGAGAGCATGTTCCCACAACATGACTAAATACAAGAAATACACATCAGCTCATTTTTACACCCCTTATATAAAGTAGTTAGGGAAAACATAATATGATATGCTGCACCATTCCTCTTTTCTGCATTGTGTGATAAATCATGCTGTACCTGCTTAGGAGCAGTGAGCGTCTGCAGGCCAGTTGCCTTGGCCACCATGGTGTGGCTGTTGCCAGGACTGGGCTGCAGTGACAGTGTCAGGCCTGAGATGGCATGAACCCGCAGCTCTGTGATGGAAACCTTGTCGTCTGTGACAGAGAATGCCGACTCTCCTAATACTGCATCCATTGCCAGCGGAGACTCCACCTGCGAAGAAAAAGATGCTTTTTTTTTTATTGTTTCTCCACATGACAGAGGGACATCGTTTAAGACCAGAATAGACAAGAGCTTTATTGTCTTTCTGAAGCTCATAAAGCCAATGACAAGCCAATTTTAGATTAGATTTGTGTTGTGTCTTGAATCCATGTGTCAATGCCTCTCTGTCTGTCAAAGTGGAAAAAAAAATAACAAAAAAGAAACACTTGAGACAAAATCCATCAACAACCAGACAACAAGGTAAACTCTGAAGTGGCCACCACATGCTTACAGAGTGACAGTTAGCAGAAACACTTGTGCCCATCTAAGTGTCACCATATGAAACAACAAAAGCATTTAAAGCTGGTCTTGCTTCTTCAGGTAATCCCAGGCTTTTGACAGGCATCTGCACCCAGTACTTTGAGCACTTTTAAAAGATCGTCATTTCACTTTGCTACTGCAACCACAGGTCACGGGGGACATGAACAAAATAAAGAACCATTCGGCAAAGCAGTGGCCTTGTCCTTAGAGTCAGATGAGGAAATCATTTTATAACTCAAGCTGGCCACAAAAAGTGTGTAATGCTAGAGCAGTGATGGGCTGGTGCTCTGACAAGCTTCCCTAGTCATCATCACCTGAAACCTTGAAACAGCAAGCCAAGTACATCATATATTGGCAAGCTCTGCTTCCAGACAATATTATCTAAAAGCCTTACATTGGCTTGATTTGTAATTTGATGTGCGAGGTTCACATTTTGAAAATCTGGATTCAAACAAGTAAGCCAGTTACTAATAAAATTATATGGTAAATAAAACGACATGGCTCCTCACTTGAGGGATACATGGAAGGGAAGAAGCCGGCTTCTTCCCTTGCATGCTTTTTACATCATTGCTTTCGTAAGTGTTTGTTTTTTCTTCTGTTTACTGCATTTGCCTCAGATCTAAGTCATGTAATTTAGTGCAGCGTCATTTCTCAAATAAAGGCTTGAGCCAAAATTATTTGCAGAAACAGGTATCTGGTTTTATTAATTAACTCTTGATACATTCTGATTTCATAAATCTGCTTTTAAAAACACACCAATGCACATAGCCAACCTACACACACCAGCTATGAATCTCTTTTTATTACAGCCTCTGTAGCTTGTTTAGTAAGTATGACTTGGCTGCAGCACCTTGACCTCCCTGTTTTTATATTTAGTTTTAAAGCCCTAACCATTTCATGTTTATTTTGTTTTTAGCAGTGTGGTTGTGGCAGGTGAGGGGTTACACCAAACTATGTGGCTGGAATTCTTCAACTGTATCTGTGATAAAATATTCTAAAGGTTCACGTATAGCTTTTTCCAGAGTGTGGAACTTGCTTAGGTGTTGCCATGGTCTTTTGGGCCTTGTCCGGGGCACTCTACTTCAACAAAAACTCTTATTTCTGTTCTCAGCTTCATAATTAGATTCTCGTGTTCACTGGCACCTTCACCTTTTATTTGCAGTGTTATGGAATTTGTTACAACATTATACTAATTAGGTGGCTTTATGACTTTGTGCCATACAGCTACAAGAATGGTATAATGCTCCTTCCTAGTGTCTTTTTAGCCTGCAGAGGTTAATGGTTGGAAACCATTAAACACTGCTGTTGGTCGTGTGAAAGCTTCATTGTTACTGTGTGTGAATGTGATTCCCCTGTAGCACACTGACTTCCCTGCCCTTGATATTTTGGTTTTAATATTTCTGTACATCACATTGTGTGAATTATATTGTTGACTGCATTGCTGCATTTATAAGCATAAGGTTTAAAATGCTACAAAAGTATAGTTAAAATTTTTAGAAAGTGTAATCCTAATTAAAGGTGAAAGTTTAAGGGCTAAAACGGGCTATAAAATTCTGCAGTCAGGTTCCACCTCTGCATGCATATTGTTTGGATGTGATGAGTTAATATACCAGAAAGGAGCGCTATGGTTCACTAGGCTACACACAAACATGTGCACGTGCTGCCAAACACACACACACACACACACACACACAACAATGGTGCATGCAAAACCCTAAGGCCAAAATAAATCCCAAATAAACTAAAGTTTTCATGAGGACAACTCAGTTGCATGATGGATCAATGTCACTACAGTAGCTTTTTCCATTACATTTTCAATCTTTCTATTAAGCTTGCCTGTGGACATTTTTATTTCTAGGACTACATGCAGTTTAAGAGGAGAATTAACAAAGGTGAAGATCACAAGGCATCTTATGGAGGGTGGCAGAGAGGTGAAGGATGTGCCCTGAGCAAAAAAAAAGAACCGGTTTCTGTGTAAAAACATGTTTACACATAAATCCTACTGGGGTCAGACAGCGTTCACCTACATCAGTGAAATCTATTTGCTTAAAATTGATTTTCTTCTATTTCACATTCCATTCATCTGTTGCTGATATTTTCACAGGCCAGTTAAAGTAACTAAAACGCAAATCAATTAAGTCAGTATTGACAACTATGTACAAATGTCAAAACCGACTCAAAGGCACAAACAACTCTATAAACAAAATATAATCACAGAAACAAATCTTGTTCAGGGTTATGATCCATGCTGGAAATGTATCATACTGTGTGGGCATTTATTATGCAGCCATCATGTAACAGGTTTCACAGATATTTCAGAAAAATCCTACTGTTGTACAGTGCAAGTCTAGAATCAGTGCTTGAACAACTATAAGAAGCAACTATTAGAAGGGTATACAGAATAATTCATGCTTCATTTCTTCACATTTTGGGCAAGTTCAAAGGGTGCACATGATAACAAATGATCTTCATGGTCAGAACTGCAAACACTTGCGGAAGGGAATTAAGCTTCAAACAAGCTTTTGTCACATTAACAACAAAAACCCAGGAGAAAGATTTTCTCCCCGACTGTTGTCAATTTTTGATGTTTGTGATTTATTCCAGGGTGTATTTTGCTGACACAGCAGCAATTTGGTTTTTCATTTTCCTCAGATTACCTCATTTACTTTTACCACAGTTGCTGATTTTCCACAACGTCAGCCAAAATCCCCAGCAGAACCTTCTGGGTACAGTATCTTTGTAGATTGTATTACTGACTGTGGTAACATCAGCATAGTATCACAAGGTCTTGACTCAATATTCAACATACAGGGTATTGTGGTTGGGTTGTATTCTAGTCTAGGATGTGATTCTCAAATATGTTTAAATTATTTTATTGTATTTGAATACTGTCTTTCTTATATTATTTAGTTAGTTTCCTTCAAAATTTGGAACACAAGTTCTCTTCTGACTGGATCCTTCAGAATTTCTTGAAAACTAACCAGTGTTTTCTTACATTTTACATGTTCTCCTGTCAGTGTCACTACTTCTTTACTGTGCAGTACTGTACAGTTTCATGCAACAGCAGGCCATTTTTTATTAATTATTACAATTTTGTGGCAGGGTTTATTTAAAATCCTAATTATGCAGAGTCAAAGCTGGTGACAGAAAAAGCTGTTCCTGAGTTGAGTTGGTCCCTCATTCTTTCAAAATTCTCCTGATGGTGAAAACCTTCTGTCTGAGAGTAAACTGAGCCATTTTGACTAAATGTCCGGGATGAATACTGATTCCATACTATCTATCCTAGCTACTCCAAGTAATGAATGATGAATGTGTTCTATGTCTGTCATCTGCATTTCTCTCTTCCAGGAGGAGAGGTCAGCTGTAGTTGTGTAGCTTCTTCCTGCCCGGCTCCCAGCGGAATTTGTCATCCATGCTGCAGGCTAGGAAAGTGAAGTGAACCATGAAAAGTAGTTAAACTTTACATATTCATCAGCTAGGACCTCTACTATCTGTTACTGTTGAGTATACAGTTGTGTGTAACAATGCGTGTTGATGTTTAGGTACTCTTCACAGGAAGCAGTGGCATTATTACACTGATGCTTAAGACAAACAGAAGATCAATGAGAAGCCCATGCAGCATATAGTCACTGAGCAGGAGAGTTTCTTCTCATGCTACTGTGTATTACTTGCATCACACTACATTATCTTCAGCCTACTACATTCTACGCTTCTCTTCTCTTCTCAAACCATCTGTTCAATAAATTACACTTACTGGTACAACTTGATATTAGTGGAAGATTTATTAATGCAAGCTGTAGATTTCATGAGCAGCTTATGCTGTCTAATGTAGCAGAAACCTGAGGACAACAAGTCCCTTTTCAGGCAATGAAGCGTCCTCACACATCTACAGAAAATTGCACACATCAGTTTGGAGTGAACACCAGTCTAAACAGACCTTGAGAAGAGGTCAAAAATACCTTTTGTTGCACTGAAAGCTATGCTCCATTTCATGATATGTGATAAAGCATGGATCTATAGAATTCAATATAAACTTTTAGCTAGATTTTCATTCTGCTTTATTAAACTAAAACGTTTCTGTTGGTTGATGTAGATGAGATATATAATCTCTCCAGTGTGTTCTGGGTCTACCCTGGGGTCTCCTACCAGCTGGACATGCCCGGAAAACCTCCAAAGGGAGGCACCTTGGAAGCATCCTGACACGATGCCTAAACCACCTCAGCTGGCTCCTTTTGATGCGAAGGAGCAGAGGTTTTACGCTGAATCCCTCCCGGGAGTCTGAGCTCCGCAGCTTATCTCTAAGAGTAACTCCGGCCACCCTACGAAGGAAACACATTTTGGCCACTTATTCTTTTGGTCACTAACTCATGACCATTTATTTTTTCTTTTTATATTATTATATTATTTGATTTGATATTAATATTAGAAAAATATACAATGGCAAACTGACATTCACAGGTCAGCACATGGTCATCAGGTCAGGTCATCAAACAGTATAGATATATAGAAAGTACTTCTTCTCCAAGAGGATGAAATGATGGAATGAAAGTTCCCTCGACAGCTACAGAGCCTTACAACAGTCTGCCCCTGATAGTCATTCCACTAAAATAACTTTCTTGGGGGACACTGAAACTGAAATGGACAGATCAGAGTGCAGAGAGCTAGAAAGTGGAGGATGAAATGTGACAAATGTTTCAGGCGGTAAGACACTGCTCTAGTGTATTTGACATCTTGTAATAGAGGTTGTTATACGAGACCTTTACAGTTACATAAAATGATGTCTTCATGTACATATTTTCAGCTATAGGCTTGAATAAGCCACATCCTGTTTGATGTTCAGAGAAGATTGATGTTGCATTGGCACATATTTATATAATGAAACCAGTGTCTATATGCTGGAATATTTATCAGGATGTTACACCCTATTGTGTGGTCAAGTCAGGAGTGCAAATGAATTTTGAGACTTCAGTGCATCTATTATCTTCTCAGCTTTCATACATAAATCTGTAAATCTATTAAAATAGATAATGTCTCATCAGTGGGTAGAACTTGTTGTGCTGTACTGTTTTCTCCAGATCCTGTTAGTTTTTTTCTTTGAGTGACATAGTTTCTAATCATCTAGGGAAGTTAACTGTTGAGCTAAATATACTGTGTTGTACTGTTCAAATATCATGTAATACATGTTGAACTTTAATACTGGAGTGAGATTAAAGATTCAACAGATTAAACTCAATTCTATTTCTACTCTTCTGTCTGTCTTTGAAAGATGATTGCACGTTTGGAGATACCAATTAAACAATCTCTAATCTGCGTACTAACAGTGACTTTTGTCCAAGTCTGGCTTTTCACTTTGAGAAGCATATAATCCTCTGAATTAAACTCCCAAATCTCACCACATTTGGTGGATTCATAGAATGCCCTCAGTCTGCCCAGGGTATAAACATACTTTTGGCAGCTTAATTAAGACCTGCTATTTGAAACACAAATGTTTTTTGCTTTGTGTCTTGAAATATACAGTGCCCATTAAATTTAACATAGAAACTCTAAGAAAAGCACGCAATAATCATCAACCGTATTTCCAAAAAGAAAGAAATCAAATGTCTGGAATATTGCACTATTGTGGACAAAAACCCTTCCTCTATTCATATTCCTGATTCACTTGTATCATATTCATGAACTGGTGGACAATTTGAATCAGACTCCCAAGACTCAAAAGATTAATTCAAATCCTCTGACAGACTGAAATCTTCAGCAAATGGACTATTGTTGAGATACTATATACTGTTCATGTTCAGAAAAATCAGCACAACAGTGTCACTGTTCTTTGTAAAACACTGATGAGTTTTGTTGGCGACCAGTCATTCATGTTGAATTGATAGCAAGTCATCATGGTGTTTTCATATAAACCTATGAGTCCTTGCACCTCATCATTCATTCACATGAGGCCGTTGTCATTTCCAGGGCATCAAATACTTCACAAAACATCAGTATTTGACGCCCTGGGATAAGAACGAGTTGTTCACTCCTACAAGGATGGAGCTGTAGGTGCAGGAGGCAGCTGGAGTTTGTTTCCTCTTATTGACCATAAACTTTCTGACTTGTACAGAATGAAGTGATGCCCCACTTGCTTATACTCACTTAACTCATTGTGAGCATATGAGCATGATGAGCCTTTAGTCGAAAGCACCATTGTAACTAAATATGCCTGACAGAGATAATAATGTTCCTGTGGACTAATAGTCCTGCTGACATTTAGATAGTGGATAAATTATCTGACAAAGTGATCATTATGTAATTTGCTTAGATAAGAATGGAGCCTGTTGTTCACCTGATGAAAGACTTTTTTTTTTTTTTTTTTTTTTACATTTAGGTCACTACAATCCAACTACTGAGCATTATTTTGAATAATCAAATGTTTCCGGATATGTAATTTGCTTAGATAAAAATGGGGCCTTTTGTTCCCCTGATGAAAGCCTTTTTTTTTTTTTTTTTTTTTTACATTTCTAGGTCACTACAATCCAACTACTGAGCATTATTTTGAATAATCAAATGTTTCCGGATCGGCTCCAGCATGTTGCTTCACATCAGTCCACCTTTTAAAGTTGTTTGAGGGATGAAACCTTATTCTTATTTATTTTAATATTCACGATTGCTGTGAGTCAAAGTGGCAAGTTACGTCTGGTGATAAATTAATGTATAATTAATCATACCCTTCAACAGACTACAAATGATACATTGCTCGTTTAAAATGATGGATTGGTGACTTATATCTATCTCCCTATTTCTCCATAATCCGATGCATCCATCGGGAAACAATTTTTTCATCTGACAGGCTGAAACTGTAATCTTTTTATGGTGATCAACAATCTCACCAACCATTAGTTCTCTCAGTCCCCATAAATGACAAGTGTAGCACTGGTAAATCATTGCACGAGAGTCATAGCTTCTGACACTTCCTTAATAAGGATTTCTGAACATGTCTTTGCTGATGCTTATACTGTACATGTGCTTTATGTCAGGGAGCTCTTTTACATGAGCAAAGTGGACATCAAATGCAGCATACACTTACTGTACAAAGAGACAAGGAAGTTTTTGTTTTGTGACAAACAAGCAATTAGAAAAAAGAGAAAGAGCACAAACAGTGGCAGGAAAACTCTGCATAAGCCTGAATGATCTTCTGCAGTACAGTATGTAACAGCTCCAGTGTAATGTTCATAGTTCAGGACATCATTCCCAATGTTCACTTTAACACTGTGATCTGGGACCATGGCAAAAAAGAAGTTAAACGGGATGAGGAAAACAAGCAATCAAACCAGCAGACAGGTTTTAAACAACTCCTCAGTCAGTTAGGTTTACTGCCCAAACTGTCTACTGTACCATCCATCACACCTTGTCAACCGTCTTCTGGGTTCAACTTAGATCTACTGTAGTTACCTGAGTTTACCTAAGACAATCTGTTGGCTTGTCTGAAACCTGTCTGATTGCCTCACTGTTAATGTTTCTTAACTTAGTCTCACTTTATTATACAGATTTTTACCATGTTTCTAAGTATCAGCAATGTATTTTTATGACTATCGTGTTATCATAACTAGAAGAAATGATGACTGAAACTATAATAGTAAAACCAAGTTGTAATACACTAGCATTGTCCTTTAAGAAAGGCATCAACAATCTTCGAAAGAACTGATTTCCTTAGTCCCAAAAAGCTGCTGTAAACTCAGAAAGAGTTATGAGTCCTAAGTTTTCAATCCTTCCTCCTCATCTCAGCCTTCATTTTGTGTGTGCTGGAGTAAGCGTTTAAGGAATGTCATGCCTGCTTTCACACCTCTCATTCAGTCACATCATTTGTCATCTATAAGACACTTAATTTTTCATTCTTGACTTCTCAGCACCAACACAAAAAAGCAGGAGGTTTACCATACCTTCAGAAGAGTGGAGCCCAGCTCCAGGCCCACCAGGACAGTCCTGTCCACCAACTCTGCTATCCTGGGGTCGGCCACCTTCAGGGAGTCCTGAACCAGGTCAGTGACATCTACCTGCCAGTCGGGTCCTAGCATGGTGATGACCTGGTCAGTTCCCTCTGTAGATGTGGTGTGGAACTGTGTAAGCACCTTGACCAGGGCCCGCTGGTACTGCAGGGTGCAGCCTCGACTCACCCGCCGCTCCTCATCTTCATCGTCTGCGTCGCTGTCTCTAGTGCTCCTTGGGCAGACAGAAGTAGGAAATATGACTGAAGCAGAGAATGGAAGTGCATTAAATATTCATCTATCCAGTGTCAAAGATGCAGCAGTTGTATCTTAAAGCACTCATGAACGCTGTAGGCATCAATTTTAGGCAGGTGTGGAGTTGCAAAAAGGCAACTGAGGTGGAAAACCTGGGAAGCTTGAGATTGGTACCCAAGTGTGTACAGAATTTGCCACCAAAAAGACTGAGAAACAGTGATTAAGATTTAAAAACAACAACGACAAAAAAAACATTACCAATCATAACCTTTCACATTTTTAAACTGAGCAGCTGGTATTAAATTCTGCACAGTGCTGCAACATTATGCTATGTCTCAGTGTGTGCCTCCTGCTCTTCAGGATCCCTACTCATTTTATAATTTGACATCACAACACTGATGAGAAACTTGGCACCACTCCACACATACCCATTACATTATCTGTTTTAGTAGTGATGAGGAAAAAAATCTTCCATGCCAGCGGGGAAGGAGATAAGCATCAAACCGCAGAGTTTTGGACTGATGCCCTTATTTCACAGGAGCCCTGGGCAGCGGGGTTAAACATGCCAGGTGCGTCCCCCACCGAGTACAATCTGCTCTACAACAAGATGTATGAGTTACTCAACTTTCCTCAGCAGGCCTGACATTCTGCCAGTTCCTCCTTAAAAAATGCACCTCCGCTTAATCTTTGCTTTAGATGAACTATCTGAACAACTTGAGATTCAGGGAAGGTGGTGGGGCCGTCAGCCAATGACACAGTATATATCCCACCCACTGATTCAAGAAACAGGTCTGATTAGGCTAAACGCTTCTGCCCTGAGGTCTCATAAATGCTTAGAACACACTCCCTCAACATCAAAATGCATTGTTGCGTGGACCTCTCCACCTCTCCCACCGACAGTACTTGTTTGGTTATTAATTCAGCTACCTCTCCACACCTCCTTATTCCCACCACTACTATGCTGTGCCTGTAACTGTGTAAAGGCAGGTTATAGGATGTTCAGGAATAAATGGGCCTCCCATAAAGCTCTCACAGTTCAGTGGAGGTACTTGCATGTACAGTAGTTGCCCATTCAAGCAAGCTTAATTTTATCTAATGAACGTCTTTCGCTCTGATTAAGCTCCGGTCATGGAGTTTTCGCTTCAGTGTCTATGGTTGGTCGCTTTTCTTACTGTGTAATGAATAAAAAATTTAAAGCACTTTCACAATCGCTGTGTAATTTTCTCACAATATGGTTACGCCTGGAATGTCTTTTTACATTTTTATTCATGGGAAAAACTAAAATAAAATAAAAAAAAATTACCATAGGGGGCAAATGTGAGATTGTGTGAAAAATAAAAAACCAATTTAATGAAATCTTAGCAGTGGCACTTCAACAACAAGGCTGAGGTTTTCCCTTGTCGAGTTTAGGTGTTTTTGTCATTTGTTTGAGTTTTCTCTGAACACTTTGCTTTCCTTCCACATGCCAAAGACAAGTTAGGTGAATTAGAGACTTCAAAAAGCCCACAGGTGTGAATGTAGTTGTAAATGGCTGTCTAGTATCTATATGTGCTCTTTCTATAAAACACCAATCACCTGTCAAATATGTACCCTACCTTTCACCTGAATCATAGGAATTAAAGGTCCTGACATGTTGGTCTATCTGTGTGTTTTTTAAAATCTGTCTTTTCTGAATTTACCTACTTTATGGAAGTGATGAAATAAATTGCTGGAATATCCCTGAAAGGTATAATAACTTTGTAACAGTGTACTCTTCTTTTCCACTTTACAATACATACATACAGTATATCCAGCACGTGAACGCACTGCCTCTCTGTGCCAGAGACTGACAGTGTAGCTTTAAGACATGTAGTTCCTGTTGTTCTTAGAAGGTAAGTGAGTCAACTCCAAAGCAGACGGCACACTCATTACTCTTTCAGATAAATGTAGAAAACAACCTAATGAGACACTAAGACTCTCTCCATCTCTGTCAAGGTATCTCACAACTCTTGGCTCAGGCCAGTGCAAGTTTACCTCCGTCAGTCTATAGCTGAAAATAAGGTTGATATTTTTTCCTCCCCCAAGTAAAATATTGTCTGATCTTATTAGAGTCTTTGATACAACAGTACAAGCTGAAGCTTCAATGTGCACGGGCTGCCCGCCCGATTACTCTTTCTTGATACAACAGTACAAGCTGAAGCTTCAGTGTGCACGGGCTGCCCGCCCGATTACATTCTTATATTAGAGCATGTTTCTGGATAATGCAGTCAGTGAGCAATTCTGTTGAGATGTAACAGAGGCCCACTGCAGGCCAAGAGGCCTTGTTGTGCATGAAGGTTCAGAATGTGTCACTTTGCAGAAGTGAAGGAATGCAGGATGGAAAAGAGTGCAAGAAAGAAGAAAAATAAAAGTTAAGGAGGCATGTAAAGAGTGTGGGAGGTTAGAGGTTGTGTAAAGGAGAGTCAGTGCTTCTGAGAGCAAGAAAATAAGCAAAAGAAATTGAACGACTGTACAGAGTGAGCAAAAAGGCAATAACTCAATCTAATAGTCACAAAATAAAGTAGCTTTAGCAGAGCCTGATGCAGATAATCACTGTGATTTGGTGCTACTGGAGTGTGTTTGAGATTGCTAATGAGTTACATTACAATGTATCAGAGTTCCTATTTATCAGATTTATTATTTACTTTTCTTTGTGAGGGCTGTGAAAACATAACCTGATTCATTATCACAGCACTTTGTAAGGACTGTAAGCAAACAAGAGTATGACAATCGGAACCCGTTGCTCTTGTTAGCGCTGGTTTTCCTTAACATTAAGATGATTTCTTGTAAATCATGTTGTTCTCTGTCCATTTTCTCCATTCCTGACATCTTGCTACAATACGGTAAATTAACCTTGACCTTGAGTAGAGAAGGTTCCATCAGCAAAAGGAAAGGATGTTTTTAAAATGTGGTTTACAGTGACATATCTAAAAAGCACATGTGCCTGTATGTGAATCTATCATACATGATAAATGTGATGAATATGTGGATTTTTGTAAAAGGTTTGTTACTTTTCCAGACTTAATCCACTGTGTTTTATGGACAGCCTCAGCAATGACACTGATACAATTACCCATGAAATGTATTTTATTTTAAAAACAACAAATGCTACTGAAGCAATCAATCAAGAAGTCTAAACATAAACAGGAGCTAATCTACTTCCCCTGAAACTTGCAATGCTGCCATCCAGGCCAGGTCTCCCTTACAAAGAGGTTGCCAGCCTCAACAGAATGCTATCTGCTTAAATAATGTCTAAATGGAAAAAATGAAATTAAATAAAAAAGAAAAAATGTTTTTTCAAATGAAACACATCAGCTACAGTATATGACCTCAGCCCACTACCCTCAAGTTAGAGTGGTAATTACTTTGTAATGTAACAATGCAGCTTAGGGTACCAAGTCCTTTTGCAGAGAGTGGATACCCAAACCCAGTGGCACTTGGGGTTTAGGCTGGGTTCAGACAAAAATTTTGAAATTATATTTGGGTCTGGGTCAAGTTTGGACATGTAAGTCAAACATTAGGCTAGATGGCTGGAGCACTCAAACATCTGCCTTGTTTAATAATTAGGGGGAAAATGCCATACAAACTCAACTGTGTCGGGCTCAGGTTGGCTTCAGGCAGGACTACAGTATGCAGCCCGATCCATGTTCTATCCTCTTGTGATACTGCTACAGCTTTAGATAAGGCAGCAGTAAAACAAAAAATACTATACTGCATACATCAAAATATGTGTCCAATCACCACCAGAAATATCACTGAAAACAGAAAGACACCTGTGGGAAGGCCATTCTACTCAGTATCATCAGCTGAGAATGATCAGAGTGGGCTTTGCCTCCTGTTTCCTGATGCTGAAAAGAACTGCAGGGAAAAGTAAAAAAAAACGAAAAAAAAAAAAATTATATAGTCTCAGTAAAGCCAAATGACAGCATGCAAGAAAGGAATGTTTCACCTGTAGTGAAACGAATTCCTCCTGCCTGGCTCTATAGCAATCATAGCAATCTAAAATACCTCACCCGTGGTCTTTGATTACTGTTTTGATGAAGGCACAGGGGAAGCGATACGCATAGAAAATGAGCAAGAAGAATTGCAGAGATACATTATAGAAAAAAAAAACTTTAAAACTACACCAGTTTGCTTGTAACAACTAGCCCAACTATTGTTATTCAGGGAATGCTGAATAACAAAGGTAATATTGTTATACAAGAGTTACACTGTATGAGACTGCTGGCAAACCCTGGGGCCTAGTAAACATCGGACAAATGGCAAACACCATTCAAAATAATGAGGTCTGAAATTTTCACAAATCCTATAAAAACACATATATGACTTTTCATCTGCAAGATTCTACTTTAATAGGCTTGGGTCTTTTATAAAAACATGAATGAATGGTGCTGTAGTAAGGATTTAAGAAACATTTTGCATGGCAAAAATAATATACCATCCATAGCCTATTATTGCCCATTGGGGATCTTTGAAAAATGAAACTACGCAAGATGTTTTCCAAGCACTTTAGGTCATTTGAAATACCTTCATTCTTCAAACAACTCCTTAAACATGCTATTTGTATTCAGTTTGGGCTGAAACATATTTGGTCTACAGTGATGTACTCGAGCAGTGATGACAGCAGCCACCCGTATGACTGTTAATGCTCCCATTAAACATTTGCTAAATGAAGGGCTGTAGGTCTGTTTGTTACTGCTCCATGCATGACAAGAATGCTGGAATATTTTAACGAGCTTAGGTTCCTTAACCTAAGACCACATTTTTCATTGTGGTCCAGACTCGACCAACTTTAATTTCCCACTGGTACAATTTCTCCCCGCCTTTAAAGGTGTTAATAGGAAACAGCTTGTTTTTTTTATTGCTGGCTGCATTTCTTCTATCAACAAAAACGCCAATAACGTCTATAATATTGACATAAAGGTGACACAGCTGGCCTCAATTCCTTACAATAACAGTATATAAACAGAACACAAGAAGAGTGTAGATAACCATGACACAGTACTATAATTACAGTAATACCTGGCTATACTACTGCAAATGCAAATAGCCAAACTAAAGTATCAACACTGTACAGCTTCTTGGCAAAACGTCTACAACAACAGTGTAACTTGGACCATCATTTGGAATTCAAAGTAACACCTCAAATGACCTGTCCCTTAGTCCAGAAATAGCACTATCTATCTGAAAGTGTAAATATAAAATGACAAAAATCAATTTACACTTAAAATCTATTATTACCGATGGGAACAATATGAAAATAATGCTTAAATTGCGTGAAACCTTAACTTCCCCATAAGATTCATGTGTGGTAACTGGATCTCCAGGTGGTGTTGAGCCTCACCTTCTGTCAGGCAGAATGGGAACCCTCCACCCTTTAATGAAGCTGAGATTGTTGTCAGAAAGTTCCACCTGCAGGGGAAGTTTGGGCACCCAGACGGTCAGCTCTAGTGGTGAGCTCAGATGTTCGTAGCTGAAGATAACCCTGGCGTTCATGGAGCCCCGCGTCTCCTTCCCATTGACAAACACGTAGTCACAATTTATGGACACCTATAACAGATCAGGGTCAGAAGTCAGAGACCATCTATATGGTAATGGTCACAATGGTGGCAGAGCACCTAAGTGATATGTGTTGATATACACTGCAGCATGGATGCAGCTGTCAGTCCCACAATTCATCATAGAGCGTTTCAAGGTGCTTTCAGCAGAAAAAATACACAGCAAGGAAGCATATGTATTTGCATGTGATGTGAAAGTTCATGGTACATAGTCAGTCTCTTATGCTATACTTTCATTTTGTCTTAAAGGGTTGGTTTGCCCAAATGTAATAAAAAAGAATAAAACTCCAGAACATATAACCAAACATATGTCGGTTACTCCATATAACTCAGGGTCTACTTTATACTTATCCACTATCAAACTCTTTCTGGAAACCTCAGACAGATATCTCTAAAACCTATGGTAAAACCAAAAATATCTGCATTGACTAGATACTGTAGCATTCAAGGTAAATGAGAAAATTCTGTTTTCTTTGGAATTTGAGTAAAACAATGCTTTTCAAGAGGCTGCACAGTATGCTGATACTTACCAGCATTGGGGAGTAACTAGTTACACATAACTAGGTCATGAAATTACAAAAATAAATGTAAATTTTATCAGTTACAGTTACTGAGAAGAAATAAGTAAATTAGTTACTAACCTAAATATTGGTGATTACAAAGGGTCACAATCAAATACATTCTTTTCAGTAAAAAGCATAAAAGAATATATCATTCACTCTGTTGCTTTGCATCTTTCTGCTGTGTAGGAATGTGTTCTTTTGGCATATTTCTGGACAACGAGGGTCAGTGAAGACACTGGGACAGATTTGCAACCCATTAAGGCTACAATGGTTTACAAGGAGCTGTTTCTGCGTCTCGATAGGTTCCATTCATTCGTCAGTATGCACTCAAATTCTGTCTGTTTTCAATTGGTTCTCTCTTGACTTAGCACCGCCTCTCATCTACCAGTCAAATCGATGCATATTGCTCGAAGCAGTCTGCCATGCCTGGCTGCGACCAGCCGACAACGCCAAGGCATGTAGTCGTGCTGTCAGACACCAGCACCTTTCAGAGGGGAAAATTCAACACTATTTTCCTTCTGAAATAAGAACAGAGCGCTGGCATTATTGTACAGTGTAAAACCTGTTTCCCCCTGGTGAAAATGCTGTCAACATCAGAACGCTTGACACCAAACCGGAGGGAACATCTACTGTACAACTAAGTTAATGTAACTGCAGTCACTCACATGAAATAAAGAACTTAGGAGCACACCATCATGTTATTTATTTTTGTTCAAGATGTAATTTAGCTTGGTGCCCATCTAGTAGGCTGCACATTCTTATGATTTTTCATCTTTGCTGCCCCATTTAAAACATTTGTTAGAAAAGTAATTCAAAAGTAATCCAATGTAATAACTTACATTACTTTAATGAAGTAATTAAAACATATCTGTAACCCATGACATTTCAAAAGTAACCTTCCCAACACAGATACTTACTGTAGCACACAGTAAACCAGTGAGGCACCAGAACCTGCAGGGTTGTTTGCCCCCATCTAAACACTAATGCAGCTGATTTTACCAGCCTTAACCAGAGATGTGGAATGAATCAGTGAAAATCAGGTGCTGCTGTGGTTGGTCACAATGAAAACCCACAAACCCTCTAGTCTTGATGGCACAGTGCTGAGAACCACAGCTATAAACAATGCTTACTGGCTGTGGGCTTTTCTCTAATCTAATTAGCATCTTTTATGCTTTTAAATGAGTGCTCCTTCTAAGTAACCCAGTGCCTATTAAAATGTACAGTGCAAATTTGGCATTCAAACCACATCCTAACCCCACCACCCCTATTGCCCATTTTCAGCATAATGATCTGTGAACCATTCCACATGATATGTCAACAAACGCTTTTAGGCAAACACACAGGTCATATGATATGAAGGCTGACAGCAGTGTTACACTTCACCTGAACTTTAGATCATAACACTGACACGACACATTGGTAAACACACATTTCACCTTTCATGTAACATTCTTGTCATGTGGTAACATTTGTCACACAGCAATGACACAGAGCATGACTTCAATATACTTCTAAATTTAAATCTAAGCAAATGCCATTTTTAACATAAAACCACCTTTAGCTTTCCCACCTAGTAAAAATTCTCCAGTTCAATTTCAATTATCATAAATACTTGTTGTCTTCTAACACTAAATTATTAACTGCAATGGATCCGGAGGGTTTTGCTTTTTGGGCCGCCATTGAAGATTTATCTAGTTGAGAGAGGTAGCTGGCATTGTAATCAGAGGATCTAATCTTCTGCAAATGGAGGTCGGGATGGCCAGCTTTCTCAGGGCTGGGAATTCATCATAACTGGGAGGAGGTTTGTAATATAATTCCCCCTCCATGCAGACAGGCCAGAGTGGAGGGAGGGAGGGGGGGTGGTGGTGGAAGAACTTCTTAAGATGACAGTCTTTCCCTCTGGTTCAGTTAATGCAATTTTGCAGGGTTTGACCTTATGGGCTACCACAGTATTCAGCGTTTGTGTGTTATTGTCCTGTCAGCTGATGTGTAGTCTTATCTGTGTGAACCAATTTACAAAAGACAGAAAAAGAAGTAACTTAGTACAATGACCCCAGACACTTGGATTGATCACAGCATGGCTTGCTGTACAGTCAAGAACATCTGTCTGATGTGCACTCCCTTCTATCTTAAAGCCACACACACATGCACATACATACACAGTGAAAACGTGCCCTAGCTGTAGCACTATTTCAGCTCCTGCTGCTGATAAACCTGGCCAGCTAATTGCAAGTCAAAAGCTGTTTGCAAGTCGGGGTATCAGTGGCCCTGTAGGGGCTTGCTGAGGAGGGCTTTCACACGCTGAGCCACCACATGCCATCACAATGCTGTTAATGCACTGTGGCATCTTTCATGGTGCCAGCAGATTGCCTGGGTGGAGACAGATCATCAGGACAAGCAAAGTGCTGCCTGCATTTGGCCGTGTACTGGTCACATGATGCAGAGAAAAACTGGCTGGGTTAATAAAGGTTAAGACACCAAAGAGTCTTTTACCCATTATGAAATAACATTAACTGAATGAATTTCCAAAACCAGTTTCAGTGAAGGCAGAAGCTTCTGTCCTTAAAGTGAATTCTTCAATGCTTTCCTGCCAGTTTATCATGATGTGACCATTTAACCAGCGCCACTAATTTTGTTCATCCGCATTCTATGCAGATAGCAGTTAATACACTTTTCACATAATTCAATGTAGAACATGAGCCATAATTTTATTTCATGTAGAGCAGTCAAACTGCTAAAACAGATTCACCACCATTAAATCACTGGCTTTTTATTTGCACATGACTCCCTTAAAGGGCCATGTCAGCAATTTAGTATTTCACTTCTACAAAGTCAGGGGGGTTGCAAGAGACAGATTTAAAAAAAGGACAGATGGTCAAAATCAGAGGGTGACACATCCTTGCTTTTGGTCATTTACATATGTTGAACTCCAGAATGACTGGATCCTACACTTCCCATAATGCAATTTAGTGCAGTGGGTAGAGCAGTCGTTTCCCAACCAGAGGGTTGGGGGTTCAAATCTCGGTGCCTGCAGGATGCATATTGAAGTTTCCTTGGGCAAGACACTCAACCCCAAAGTTGCCCACAATGGTTAGAGCCATCAAGTGAGTTGACGCTGTAGATGGCTGCCTCGGTTCTGTACCGGAAACAAATTCCTTGTGTGTAACATGCTTGGCCAAATAAAGGTGATTAACTGAAGGTCTGTGCACATAAATAGGTTCCACACTTGAAAACATCATGGCAACCTCTTGACGACAAGAAGAATATTTCCTTTGTTTGTTGTGTTTGACTGAAGCTCCTGAAAAGGACAAATGTGTGTCCCCACCTACCAATAATGAGGATGTGGAATATAGTAATACATACAGTATAGTGCACAGAGAAAGCACCCTTACAGTGTTCACAGTCTCTGCAATCTCAAAATTTGTGCCACACACAGGGGTCCACCCCCACACTTCAGCAGCTGATGAAAAACACACACACACACACACAGACAAGGGAGCCATGAACTGGCCTTTAGACCCTTCCAGCCTGATAAATATCCACATGTTTGCAGCCTCACATAGGCTTTAGGGAAATGATTTAATCTCCTAGTCCAAGCCCAGACAACCTGATGATATCACTACAGGTATTTTCTCAGATTTGCCAGCTCTTCCCGAGCCCAAAAACATTATAACTTTTCACAGGCTTAATAGCAGACTTCATGACTAGTAAACCTATTTTGATGTGGCATGTTGTTCCTCCACCAGGGAGCGAAAGAACCTCTAGTGGCCACGGTTTTCAAATCGAAGGCTGACTGGTGCAGACATAATTACACTAATTAAAACTGATTTTAGCCACTTAGAGGCTATTTAAAAAACAGAGATGACAAGAAAAGACATTGAATATTAGTGCTAAAATTCATAATTCACAATTAAGTCAAGAATCTTTATTGTCATTATGCATGCAATTTCATTAACAAACCAGTAATCTGTCTGAATAAAATGAGCAGAACACCAATATAAGCAGGGATGTGTAATCACAAGAAACAGCAACAAAAATCTAATGTCCAATTTTAATGCTTTCTCTTATTGTAGTCCAGGGTTATGTATGGTTGGTGTATGGGCATTGTGCGAGCATAGGATAGTAGACTATGTTGGACATTTGACTTTTATTAGACAGCAGGAAAGGTCAAGAGAGCAAGGGGATGGCTTGCAATATACTGGACTGGAAGACTGCTACATGGTATGTGCTGCAGTTGTGCAAGATTCCTGTAAAGAACAAAAAGACTCTCTCATGTTTCAGTGTCACAGACACACACAAAGAAGAGTTTGGTGCAGGAGCCATCCTGATGCCATAACATTCTTTCAAATTGGGTTTCTGTTCAGGGATAATATTATGTATCAAATTAACACCAAACGTTCACACATGGTTAATATTGCTGGAACTGTTCCTTGTAGTAGTTATGGAGCTTTTCTTCATGTGATGGATGTGCACTAGCCTCCAGAGCACTGCAACCAATGAGTTCATTTAACTCTTTTAGCTAAATGAGCCAGCCTCCATTAGCCTGCTTTGGTAGGATTAATGACACAGAGTGAAAATTATCTATTGTTCTGAAAAGCTGGGACTTTTTTGGAAACATTTTGGATGTAATTAAAACATGCTCATCTTTTTAGTTGCTTCATATTGCAAAGACGTGATCACTATACTTTAAAGGTTTCACTCAAACTATATATTAAAATTGTATCTCTTCTAGCATTTAGCTATTTTGTTTTGGTATACATCACCAAGATTTCTGCTTCTATCCTGATACAGTAGAGGTGAAGAGAACTGTTTATGGTGCTCACAGCATTGACAAATTCCTCTATTGTAGAGTGGAGGCAAAATGCACCAACATTACATCCCTGTACTGAATATGTCATTCCAAAACGTATGGTACTACAAGTACCTTCACTCTCGTGGCTTAGGGTTTTCCACCTGATCTTGAAACCTGGGCGCAGGGATTTGCTCCCATTCAACCACAAGAGCATTAGTGAGGTTGACCACTGATAAGGCCTGGGTTGCAGTCAGCCTTCCAGGTCATCCCAAAGGAGCCGGTTGTGGTTGAAGTCAGAGCTTTGAGCAGGCTAGTCACTTTTTCCCCACAACAAACTAGGAAAACCATTTCTTTAGGGACCAGCTTTGTGTGTTGTCATGCTGAAGAAGGAAAGGGCCCTTCTTTTTCTTTTCACCACAGAGTTGGATGAACACTGTTGTCAAAAATATCATTTTATTTTGTAGCATTAAAATCATCCTTAATGGAAACTAAAGGGCAAAATCAGCACATAGTGCACAAAATGCAGACAGGTGTGTCCATATATTGTCCATTTAGGGTATCTGATGTATTAGATATCATCAATTAATTGATTAACTGTGTTTTGGGGCCCCTTTCAAATAAAATCTCAGCTGTCATAGATGATCGCGATTCAAACAATCATTAATCCACTTCCAGACTAAATAGGATTATTTTAGCAAACACCAAAACAAGTGCTCCTCATCCAAGTTCTTGTTTTTAAGTTGCTAAATTTGGAGTTAAAGGTGCTAAAGGTAAATGTGACACACTAATATGGAAGGAGGTATGGAGGAAGAAGCCTTCAGCAAGGTACAGAATTTATGCAGGATTACCACAGGCATGAGATGTGCAGACACAAGGTCTTCTCTCTGCCTTGAGATGGGTTATATGAGTCACAATGGCGAGGGAGAGGATGATCATTGGGGAAATAGGATTTGGTCTCTGTTGCCTATAATGGCTGGCAAGTCACTTCTTGCCCTGACACACTCAGAGCTGACCCCCCCTAAAACACCACTGTTATCAAATTTAATAATTATTCATGCACACAGACACACAACTGTGTGGACTGGCTTATCTGTGGTAGGTCCTTGATGCACACTGCAGCTTAGTTACTTCTAAAGAAGAAGAAGTAAAGCAATAAATGAAAAGTTCCAGTGAAGAGAAATGACAGCCTCTCACCTATTTTTACTCTCAAAGCTGGAAAAAGACACAACAGCCTGTGGGATGGCAAATATCCAAATGAGCAGAATGCTGGGCTGAAAATAAAACTTTATTCACTGAAGAAATTTTGAATAAAATTTGAGTTTAAATGTTGTTTGAGTTGCAGTCTCAAGTCATAGCTAGTGGGAGATTTAATAAGGTACTGGGAAACTTTGCGGTGTATGTATTTTGGACCACTCATCTGTAATGCTCAGAGTAAAAAACAAAACAACCAGCAGAATGGAACTAAAACAAGAAAATCTGATTAGAATAGATCAACATGACTTTTGGCATGGGTGTAATGTGTGCGATATAAGGAACAACAAGAAAAAAGTAATGGTGTTCCACCTGTCAGCTCACTGTGAATCTTTTATTTCTGTATTCTGGGGGGTGTTTTATTGAACTGTCATGACTCGAGTATTTCCTAGGCCTGAAGGGCTCATTTTAAATTAGCCTCGAATGTTCAATGGCAGACGCATTGAAGCAAGCCCACTCAATATCATATGGCCCAGCACCTTGTCTTTAATGGATAATGAAAAATGATAAAAGACATGCTGAGGCCAGCCACCCCAGTGCAACACCTGTTCTTTTCTATTGACAGTATAATACAATACACCACAACTGGAGCCTCTCTCACCTGCAAGAAACATGTCTATACAGGAAACGCATTGATCTGAACTCTGCTGAGGTTAACTGATAATTAAACGTTTTCTCCAAGTTCTTCATCCTATACCACCTATGTGGTCATTTCAAATCAAATCAATTTTATTTATATAGCACTTTAAAAAAAAAAAACCAGTTGACCAAAGTACTTTACATAAGTAGAATAAAATCACAATAAATAGGGAGGAATTGCAACAATGCCACCAAAATTACCAACAATGTATGTCACACTGCCAAGTTTTACGGACCATGATAGATAGATAGCAGTCAATATAATGGGCTAGCTAGCAGCAAGCTACTGGAACTCTGTTATTTTGGAAACTGTCATCAATATGACATTATGAATATGAAGCTATCATGTTTTCATTATGTTTTGTGATACAAAAAATTTGTTTATGATTAGGCACGAAAACGGCTTGGTAAGGTTTAGGAAAAAATGGACTTTGCTACTGTTGCTATGTTTAGGAACAAAAACTCTTGAGATACACAAGCTACACACTGGAATTGAACTTGAATATCTTAAAGCAAAACCCTGCGTTGTGTGTACCTAGCCATCGCACACCTTCTCCAACTCCTCCAAACACAAACTTTGTGCCTCCATATAATGACACCTTTTCTTGTGTCATAATTAATGGCAGTTGCTAGATGTTGCCAAACTATGACACGTAACATTTTGATGAAATAACCTGCTGGCACAAACGACATATACTGTTGTATTTTACAGTAGAGTACAGGACAGTCTTTTTTCTTTCTCAGGTATCTACACCTATTTATTTTGACCAAATTGTATACAGGATAACATGGGCAGTTTGAGGCAGAAAACATTAATATTAGTCCACTATAGCAGAATGAAATTTTATTGGACATACAGTATATTGGCCTTTTATGAGGACAGATACTAGCCAGTCACAATTTATACAATAGAACAGAATCAGTCCGTGTCTGATTTGGCTTGATGGCCTCATGGTCTCAGTCTGTAAACTGCAATCAAACCTTCCTGTCCTGACCTTGAGGAGCTTCTAAACCATCAAAAGGGATTTCAATAGCTTGACTTGATGTGATAGTTTTACTATTCAATGAACAAAAGACTTTTTTGACACAAATTGGATTTGGTATTCTTCAAATAAAAGAAATTACTTGGTCAAATTTAAAGATTTCTGTTACTGAGAGACAGTTCATATTCCTGACAAGTCAAAGCTGATCATACTGCGAGTCACGTCTGGCCTCCGTTTCTCTGATGGCTGCTCCCCTCTGAGTGCTGTGTATTGTCGTGCAGCTGTTACTGTATTCAAAGTTTTTCAATAGTCACACAACATTTTAATAAGAAGGAGGTAGAGAGAAGAAATGCAATAAAATATAAACTGGTTTAAGAAAACTACTGCTATCATTTGCCAGATTACCTGATAAAATTCATATCTATCTAGAAACCAAACTTAAAAAAACCTAGATGTTCTGATATACAGAGTGAGGGGGCACACATTACAGTTTGACACATCTTGCCACTATCAGAATATATTTGTTCATAAATGTACATGCTTGGACAGTTGGTGTCAACCTCCTGGTAATTAGTAAGTGGGTGTAAGAGAGCAGAAACAATGCCCAATCAACATCCTCTTTTATGCTGCCACTGTCACACATGCTTGTGAATGTAGAAGAAATGGCACGATGAAAGCTTGTTTGGAAAGTATGTGACACACTTCTGAGAAATGCAGTGGTCCAGCTCACAAAACCACACAAGAACAAAAGGAAATGTCTCGAACAAGTACATGTCCTCATTAAAGCTAAAAGTTACCAAGTGAAAGTTACCAAATAAATTGTATCTGCAGGAATTGTTATGATATCTTCTAGTGCCCCATTTCAAAAAGTATGTTTTCAGAGACTGCCATGGAGGGTAAAGTTATTATTATTAATATTAATATTAATGTTTTAAAGGTTGCAGGGGAGAAGAGAGGATGAGAGGCTGGCTGCATTGTCACTGTTGCATATATAAATATAATGGCATACATTATATGTTGTCGACTTCATTTGTGGTTGCATCTCTTACTTCTCCATCACTTTTAATATGATCAGCAGTGCAAAACGGCACCGCAACCCTTCACTGTACTGTTTATATAATTATGCAGTCTGCCTGTTGCGCAATCTATTAGGTTGTAATTGACTGGAGGAAATAATAACAGCGTCATCACAGCCTCTAATGTGCTCTGCAAGTTGCTGTGAGCCCACGTTAATTTATTTAATCAACAAACTAGACTTGATATTGTACTATACACTTGGATTCCCTGTGAGGCTAAGAGATGGTAGGCCTTGTATTACAGCACATCAGGTAAACACAACTAGGTGGGGTGCTTCAAAAGGAACACTGCTTCTTTGTAACAAGACTGATTTATATAGAGAGTTTTATGGACATCCACTGATTTTATCTGAGGGATAAGGCAGCAATCAAATCAAGAGTACACATGGAGTGCCCCAAAATGAAGTTTTTATGCTTTTCTGATGTTACCATTGTGCATCTGAGCCATTCTCCAGTATTAGTGAAAGAAGGAATACAGTGCATTTTCTAAAATGATTTCTCCCAGATACAGACATTGAGAAAACAAGATTTACTGTACCTTAACAATGTCTTCATTTGAGGACTTGCACTGCACAGAGGCTGAGATGTCTGTGACTGCTCCGTTCATCTCTATGGATACCATTTTGACAGGAATGGCAACAGTGCGTCCGGTCAGAATAGCTGTGTTGATTATTTCAGTGTCCTTCAGAGAGAAAAAAATAGAAATGATAGTCATGAAACTGTGAGAGGTACAGAGTGGCTTTCCTTGATATTCCATCAGCATTACTTATGTCCACATTTAAAACCATTACCATCAGGGCTCCTGTGCCTCCCAGGTGACACTATCAGGGGCAGACCAGATCTCATTTTACAGAGGCATCTTTCATTGCATTTCATCAACTGACATTTTCATTTCAAGTGCACTTTTCCTGCAGTGAACAACTGGAAGTAAATGCGGATGGAAAAGAGAGAAGTCAAAGAAAAGCAATAATCCTAACCCTTAATCATTCTGGGAAATGGTTTTTTAAATTACAGCATCAAGCTTAAATTTCAGGCATGATATTTGCTATACTGATGCACAGAATCTGATGCAACTTCCATTATACAATTTTAGGTTGAGCACAGTGGAATTTAGAATCGGATGTTAGAGGAGACAGGTTTTGCAACAGTAGGAATGTCTTAAGGGATGGAAACCTGTTATCAAAAATGTTTCATTCACTCTGGAAAATACAATAGAAACTGTTTCTAGCCTTGTTAGCCAGCAAGATCATTGGCACCCCTCTGCTTTCCCTCACGGACATTTTTAACACCCACCTCACCCACAGAGCCATCAGCATTGCTGATGACACCTCCCACCCTGCACACTCCCACTTCAGACTCCTGCCTTCAGGGAGAAGGTATCAGAGTCTTCAGGCCCACTCCACCAGACTTACAAACAGCTTCATCCATCAGGCTGTGAGGATGATGAATGCTGTCCATTACCTCCTCCCCCCTGCCCCCTGCCCCTGGACTCTAACCCACCACAGAACATAAAAAGACTACCTCTGCTGTTTTGCACAATACCTCTGCTGTTTTGGGTTTTGTTATATTACATGTAAATCTGCTGCTGACTGTTTTTACCATCATATCTACTGCTGTTGGTCATTTGCACTACTGTCCATGTGCATCTCAATCTCACAAACATCTGACAATCTTCTTGCTATTATTTGCACTACTGTCACTGATTGTACATGGTTTTGAGTCATTAGGTTGTACCGTTTAGTTTTATCCTAATCACTTTGACTTAGTTGTCCTATTCTTTTTAGTCTGTTTTTACTCTACTTTTATTCTATTTTAGTTTCCTAAATGGTATGGCATTCAATACTAGGTGAGAGAGAAAAAGTATTTTGATTTTCTGTATGTCCTGCACGTAAGAGTGAATTGACAATAAAAATCTTTGATCTGGATCTTACTGTGACCATGGCACGTCAGAGATCACTGCTGTGTTAATGTCAAGAAATATGACCCCCCTTCCCCCCTCAGTTACACAATTATACCCACTACACCCATTTCCTGCTTATCACTGCTCACAAGAAGCTGCATTATTATGTTAGTTTAAATGATAATATGGTATATGTACACCTTTAAAAGGCACAAAGAGCAGAGAGAATTTCCTGCTCTGATTCATAAATCTGTCTTTAATAACCTAACTGCGACTCAGTAGCTCTGAGTTTGGTAATCTGCTTATTCATGAACCAATATATGGAGATAATCTTGAATGAGAAAAACAATGCATGGAAGAAATGCCTTTAGTTTCTCCTGTTATATATTATGTCTGATACCTACCCTGATTTATTTACAGTATTTTCCAGCTACTCTTCATGGAGAGAATGTCTGTTAGATCGCTGCCCTCATTTTTCTATATACTTAAAACTTCTGAATATCAAAGGGATCAAACTGTGATAAATACACAAACAAACAAAACAAAACTTAAATTAAAATACACACCAGGCCTTGAGTTGAAGTTCAACTCAACTCAATATTTAGTTTAATTTTTGATTAAATTTAGAGGCTAACAATTTTTCTGATTTGTGGTTCATGAGTAGCCCAGGAGAGTAAGTAATTTTCCTGAAATCAAAAATTCTGCAGGACACTGATCTTATAAGTATTAATAAGGGTATTGAGCATGAAGAGACTTTCTTCCCCCTCTAATTTTTCATGGGCTCACACTGAACTGCAAGACTCAGCATTGAGTTTTATTAAGGCATCTGCTCTAAGTAGCTTTAAGCAAATAAAGACTGTTCTGAGGTATCTTTAGGTATGACACTGAACCTCGCCTCTGGAATTTCACACTAAGGTGAAAAGATGTAGACGGGATCTAAAGGGACGATCCAGAACCTTTTGCAAGTCCCTTTGAGGTCAAACACCTCTTTTACATGTGGGACATGGCCGACGCCACAAAAATAAAAAAGAGAAAGAAGCAAAGCCAATGTAATTGCTGAAAATAATTTGACTGGAACAAAAATGTCTTGTGCATTCTTTATTTAAAAGTACAATGGCTGCTGGTGTATATGTGTTTTGATACAGTTTTGTTCTCCTTCAGGGGACGACAAAATGACAGCCATGTAATGGGTGGGAACAATCTAGGGTGATGCATCTTGCTTTAAGCTGCAGCTGTGAGAGAAATACTGTATTTGTAGTGAAGCAATGAAATGTGACAATAGGAATCTAAGTTGTCAGGGCCAGGAAGTATCTGTTTCTCTAGTTTTGACAAGGCTTCAAAAAATTTCAACCACATAATCAGCTCCACTGAATAACATTTCCTCCTGTTCATAGAACAAAATGTTAATTAAAATACTTGAACAGCAGGATCTGTCTGAATCTGTAAACACATGCTTCAGATATTCAAGATTAGAAAAAAGACTTCTGAATATTTCTAAAACTATCGTAATTCCAGCAGAGCTTCTTTCAGTTCTTCAGTCCTATTCTTTTTTCGTGGATACTAATCTATAATGTAGGAATCCATCAGTGAATCAGAAGCCAATCACAATTTGTTTTATTTCCAATAATGAAATCTGTTAAACAAAGTTTTAGTGGAATTTATTAGTTACTACTGCAATTTATGCTAAGCTGAAAGATAATTTTTTGAGTGTATAAAACATAGCTAATTTATGAGAAGCAAAGCCCAGCAGACCTCTGGGCTGAAATCCTAATTGAAAGCCATCATCTCTAAGCTCCACTTGCTGTTTTGGCATCTGGCAAATATTACACTACACAAGACACTTTACGATTAAATGTTTGGTGCTTTGGGAACCCTAATTATGCTTACCTGAATTCCGCTCAAAATAAAATCAGTCATCAAAGTCATCATTTCACTTAATTACTATGTTCTGTGTGAAGCAGCAAAACAGTTATCAAATAATCAGTTTAGTAGTAATGGAGAAATATTGTATAATAATGGAAACTGGTTGTGTTTTAACACCACATTAAACATTAAACCACTTTTGCCAATTTTAGTAAAGAATGTGGGCTCTCAACACACCAAATTAATGTTTTCATTTTTAATAAATGTTGTTAATAAAAATCGACAAGAAGGATCCTACAGAGATAAAGTCTCATACACACAAAATTCAAATCTAAATATTGCTTGACTGAATATCTGCTCACTTTTATCAGTTATCTGCTGAGTTTATGTAAAATAGTTCAACCAACTATTTATTAGAATTTATCAGAAGAATATAGGTTTTTCTGCTTCTAATGTGTAATCTCAGATTCATTTACACGGTTTATTAGACCGCCAAATGACTGAGTTGTTTGCTTGTGGTTACTGTTTTTCCATTAAACATTACTGGGGAGCCTTGTTGGAAGTGTCCACAGTATCTTGGTTTGACAACACGAGGAGAGGCGAGGTTACTTAGCGGGTGAGACTTAAATGTTCTGTTCAATTATTTCCATCTGCTTATGAATAATGTAAACAACTCGTTTAGCCAGATGCATCTTTAAGAACGCAACGAGACATACATGGGCAAATACAGTATGATGCATGATTTCAAGCTGTGGGATTTGTGCTACACAAAACATCATTTTTTATTTAACATCTGGTAGCTACTCTGGCACAGAGCTGCTAATGGAGTTGAGAAACCGGCAGAAGTGCTACCCCCCGCTCTGCATCATCATCCTCTTTTTTCTTGCCCTTTCAGTTCTCAATAAACTCTAAGAAGAATGTCCTGTGAAAGAGGCCTTTGGTGGTTTGGTGTTGATAGCGGCCTAAATTGTGTAATAAGCCCCAGGGTTGAGTTAACTTTACAATCCTGAAATTGTTTCCCCTTTCACACTATAAATTCACTGGTAATTCCACCCTTCTCTTCCTCCTTCCCTCCCTTATCTGCAGCAGGTCAACTGTAGCTGGCACACAATCTGCGATCCCCAGCCATAAAAACCCTGCTCTTCATTCCCTTTACTGTCACTTTGCCAGTTCTTCTTTCTTCCTGGTCTCACTCCTTCTTCACACATTCCTCAATCAAAAGTTACTGCGGGGGTCCGAACAAAAGCGTCATCTCTGTTGCTTGTAGCACAAAATGCATCATGTCTGTATTTTGGGGACAGAACTTCTGCCCACCGCCCTTTCTATATCAGCAGTTTCTGAAAGTGCTGATCTGTTCTACAAGCTGTCAGTGGGTGTGTGCCACCAGCTGAAAAGTGCTGATTGATCTACATCTGCTGCTAAACTTAAAATTGCAGTTATTCTACAGCAAAACAAGTTGAAGGATCCTCAACTTCTGAGCCAGTCTTTTGTTTTACTGTTAGGTTCTTCTTCCTTGAGTATTGCCTCCTCTCACTTGAATCAATTCTATTTAAATACTTCAATTAGTGGACATGAGCAGCACAAACATGCTCATAACAAGCCTCTGACACACATCGGTTGGTCTGATGAATGCATAGCAGCCATGTTCTCTGTGCTAGTTTTGAAGTTGAACACAAATACATCCCTTTTATACCTTGGTGCTGTATAGTGTTCCTCTAAATGGCCACAACTTTCATAGGCACCACAGTAATTACTGCTGTCCTTCCATTTAACAATCAACTATAACCAATATATTATTTATGCCATACTAAAATAGCCCTGAGGGTTGTTGTAGCTCTAACTTAGGAAAACACAACATCACCACCATCACTTTGTGTTTTGTCTTATGGATATTGGTGGCACACTGATGTCACAAAACAGAAATCAACCATTTTGAGAATTAGTCATAAACAGTGGTGCTGTAGTTTCATATCAAAATGAACCGATAATCAAGAGGCAAACAAAAACCAATATGAACAAAAATCTGTTATATATTGAACAAACCCCATCTTTACATAATTCACAACTGACTGAAGTAACAACTTAACTTTCCTCATTGTACCTTTGAGAGCCTTGCCACATCAAACGGCGCTATTAACATACTCAACAACCTGTCATAATGATAAAGCTGGACTTTTCTATCTGCTCTAATAAGACCACCCTGTTTTCAGTACATCAATCATGTATAATGGGCATTAACATTGTGGCACTTCACCAGGTGGGGGAACTGGAACATCAAAATTTTGCTTTGATACAATTCACAATCCAATTAGTCACCACACAAGAAATGATGGATTAAACCTCATCTTTTACAGTGACCACCGTGGCAGGACACCCTCACACTGGGAAATCAATAAATGAGCCTGATGATGAAAGTTTTTAGTGTTGGCGTGACTCCAGTCACTATGCCTTCTGACAACTCAGGGAGAGTAATGAGTGTCTGAGATCATCTCAAATTTGGTTTTGAAGTGGAGTGTGTCTACTTACATCACTGAACAATGTCAGTGATGGTTGATAGACAAATTGGAACACTTTCTGAATTGATCAAGTCTGACTGGGCTGTGCTGTGCTACAGATATTTTTCCTTTCTTTCCATTTCAAAACTAATGCAGGCAAATCTTCTTCTTGCAGTGACACTGTTCTGTCTCATATTAACATGAGACCTATGCTTAGGTACTGCACCTAAAGAGAGTAAATAGCATACAGTAATGTACAATAGGTGGCAGGCAGCTAATTAAAAAAAAAAAAACCTATATAGTTTTTGCCATCTGGCTTCAATATGTAAAATTTACAAGGAAAGTCATGCAGGCAGAAATCTAATTTTGCAATGCAGCTAAACATGTCTGGGTACAAGATGTATGCTAATCCTAAATGTCAAGGGGACTCGAGATATGAAGCGAACCTTATGTTACAACAGATGCGCAGTACACAAAGTCATAACTGCAGCTCAAGTATATTTAATGGAGCTTTATGTGCTGAGCAGTTGTAATTATGCAAATATATAACAGATATTCAAAACTTATTGTTCTGGCAAAAGTATCAAGCCTTCAAAACTGTTGGTATACCCAGAGACAGATGTGGATTTTTTTTATATTGTTAGGAATATTGATGTTTTCTGCGACTTACAGCGCACACTGGTGAACATGCTACTGACTGATCGCCTCGCTGTTCTTAAACAGGCTCAGAGCTAGAATGATGACTTTCACTCACCATGAACACCACATGGCTAATCCTCAGAAACCCCCCCCCCATTCTGCAACTACTACACATCTACACACCCTGCATCCCGTCTTCTACAATCTACAGTGAATTTTAATAAGCAAATATGGTATGATTTTTAAGTCAAGCAAGACCACAACAGAAGAAGTGAATAGGTATGGCATAGCCAGAGGTGCTCAGCACATCTTGCTTGATTAATCTCCCTTTGTTCCTATAATCTGTTTACTACCCTCATTAATTGCTGCTTTTCATGAGGCAAGGAGAAGAGACAAGATTAAAATAGCAATAGACACATACGGTAGGTGTTTTGGGATTGGATGACTCTCTTAACAATTAGCAAATCACTGCAGAGGAAGTAGGTGTTAATTGTATTTGTAATGAGGATACTGTCTCTGACAATACTCTGTCTGTATTACATCTGATGCTTTGTACATGACTAAGTGGAGGCTGCCAAGAATAGCTATTTAAAGCTTCAGTACAAAGTGGACCTGATAGGATTCCTTAGAATTCCTGCTATTATTGAGCTTACATGTGTAAATTTCATTACTCATACAAAGCTCCTACAAATTGTGAGAAGAAAACACAGTTTGTTGCATGTAAACAGCTGTATTACATTGGAACTTTGTATTTCTAAGAAATAGTAATGCTACATCAGCTCCTCCAACTGCCTCCTGCATCACTCATCATTGTATAATGATGATGACTTATACAGCAAAATATGTCAGAGTACACTGAGTTGATTATCTAGCTTACTGTGCATTTTGAAAACTTTCCTTTAGAACAAAAGCTTAATATAAGGACCTAAACATTTTAATAAATCCGAGTTTAATAATAATCATATCCACATGAATCTGGCTCCTCCCACTCACCATGGCCAGAGGGATGATGGCCTGAATGTCCCGCTGCACTACCGTCAACTCCGTCACAACCTTCTCTGAATCGGGAGGTGGGTTCTGGCCCTTGTAGTCGATGTTCCAGTTGATCCTCCTGGTCACCGAGAGGCTGGTGAAGTTCTCCATTTCAAAATCCAGCTGCATCACCTCGACGTTACCCAGCACATCCCTGTCAGACCAGAACAAAACAAATTTAAAGGAAAAATGTGCATGAACAACACTGCAAGAATGCATTCATTTCTGGTAATGAAATAGTTCACTGGGAAATTTTTAATCAATAAACAAGCTGTTTACTGAGCTCTCCATGTGCTGCTCAGGAATTATTTGTAAAATTTTCCTTAAATAACCTGAAATAGCTGAAATAATAAGAAATGGAATGATTAAGGTTTCAACATGTGAAGCAAAAAGCTTTATGGTTGAGCAGCTACTTGACACATGGTATATGTTTAGTATTGGTTGTTTATTTCAAGTGATATTCTACATCTACACATCATGTCTTTTTGTGGAAAATTTAAAAAAAAGACAAAGGCATGTAATTATGTGTATGTGGTTCATTGCACTCTGAAAAAAAAACATCAAGGTTTTATTATCTTGTTTTGTACTTTTAAAATAGCAAAAATATTGATTAGTACATTCTGCTTGAATCTTGAATCAATAAATCTATATCCAGTAAGATGTTCAGAAAGATTTCAGAATAAAAGCTAGTATTCTAGCTCTTGGCTTCCAGTGGAGTGTAACCAATGTGCATTCAGCACAGCTCCCATAAGTTGTCAGATACATCGACTGATGAAAAGACCCCATCATAACATTTCATTCAGTCAACAGTAGCCAAAAAGCTCCTTTCCATCTGAATCTCAGAATCCCTGACAGATACAAGGCAGTTAACACAGCAATGAGATCTTAAAGGTCACAGTGTGCTGTTCATAACCTCACGCATCACTGGTGGAATACTGACTGAAAATTTTCACCTCCGTTTACTTAGATACATTTGATGTCTGAATGTTCCCTTAAGCATAGGGCTCTTGTAAACCTGATGACTGAGTGACATTTTCCTAATGGCTTTCCTGCTTAATTTGATAGAGTTGTAATATTATTCTAATTAATCAGTAATTGGCTCTGAATGAAAACAGTGCCAAAAAACAAACACTGTTCTCTAATCTCGCCAGTCAGCTTTCTTTGTCCTTCCTAAGGCCTGAGTGCAGCGCTTGAGCAAGGAGATTTCACATTTTGTTCAACCTTCCTGTGAAAAAACATATTTGCTTCCAACTTTTAATCAAATTTTGGTGGGTAACCTGATAGTTCTAATGACCATGCACATTAAATATTTGAACATTTTCTCGTCTGCTTCTCTCCTCAGTGTGAAGACTTAGACAGCGATGTAAAAGCATTAACAGCCTTCCAGTTATGAAAATCCTGCATTTTGGGCTTGTAATCCCCAAAGTTCAAAAAGCCTAACATGAAACCCACTCACTGGTGGTGAGGGGGCAAATTGAATCTCTCTCCACCCATGATGGGAATCATCCCCTCCAAACCTAGTCTTTTAGCTAAAAGTGAAGCGCTTGCTGTTTGTCCTTCACAAAAGCAGAGGCCCATCCTTGCATTCAGTCTGAGAGCCTTTTAATGAAAAAGCTGGATCAAACTATCTGTACGATCCTCAGCCCACAATGATTCCTCTCAGGAACATTGTGATGAGATCTCTGCCTATTTGTCTTGACATATCTCACTGGAAACAAACACTCCCGTCTGTCTGTGACACACTAAAGTTGTCATCAATATGGCCCACTGGAGTGAATGTACAGCCACTCGATACAATGTCGACTGCCATTATGCCAAAGGAAGGAAAATGGATATTCACAATACACTGATTTGAGCTAGAGCCCCCCTTTTCTTTTTTACCATGATAAGTAAATTTTAAAACTGTAAGTGAAGGCAGCAGAAGAGAGCAGAAAATGTACATCTTCCTTACATTTTATTCAGTGAGCTACAATAACATTTAGAAATAGTTTTTGCAATCTGAATAAAAAGAATGCATTTCAGGAAAGAACACACTGTCTGTCAGCACTAAGGTCTCTATTTCTTTATATTTCCTGTATGTGCATTGTGACTGCACAGAATTACAGTGTAACCTTCACATTTCTCTTTAGAGCTGTGTCCACTTAATGCAATGCGACTGTATTGTATTATACACTGAAATAACAAGAATAACCAAATCCAGTGAAATGTTTCCTCTCCACTGCTCTAGCAGCTGCTGTGTTACAATATGTCTTATTACATGACATGTCAATGGAATCAGATGGTGACCTTTTCATCAAAATGCTAAATTATGAATGTGTTATCTAATTAATATCACTTGCAACCAGTTCCTAAGCTTTCATAGAAAGAGAGCTTTTCAGTTTGGAACACAAAGTACAAACTAAATTTAACAAAGGCATTTTTTAAAAGTAGAGTAATGAGTAATTTTATACCAGAAGAGCAACAGAAGTAAACATGGCTCAGTCACGTCCAGCCTTGTTTCCATTAACTTAATGATGCACTGTCTGTATCACATGAAGTATATTTTTTTTAAAAGCTGTAGCTTGGGGCTTTTTCAGAACTCAGGGGGATTTCATTCTTTGATCAGAGGTCTGTTTGAACTGATTAACAGGCAGAGTTCATTGGATCAAAGCACTGCAAGGCAGAGTTACACTAGTGGAAGAGCAGAGATGATGAGTAGAGGTTTCAGAATAGTTCGTGCTACTATGAAGTCTCGAGCACTCAAGTCTTTTTTACTGGTAGTGAGAACAGTATCAATTCTGTGCGTCAAGTGGCTCAGCTTAGCATAATAGCCGGAGGCAGGAGGAACAGCAGCTTGACTCTGTCCAAAGTGAAAAACTAGGCCTCCTGACACCTCTAAAGCCCAATAATGAACATGTTTTCTCATTTGTTGAATCTGTTCATGAACAGAAATGTAACAGCTACAATCTGTGCTTTTAGGGCAAATAACATGCTGAAGCATTTTTGAGGGGACAGCTGGTTGCAACAAATATGTACATAGCTTCTCAAACAAACCAGATTAGAACATCCTCCTCATCACTTTATATGTTGTTTGTGCCAGCAGGTTATTATGACCAACAGTTAAAGGATAAGGACAGTCATTTCCTATATTATTAGTATTTTCAACATTCCCCATACAGAGACTAAAATCAACAGCCTTTACTGTTCAGGTCTATCAGTCTCCAACCTGGATTATCTTATTCGTCTGTGCCATGGACCTCTGTTGTTGTTCAAAAACAATTAAGAATGAACAATTAGTCCAATTAACCACATCGGTGAAACACCAGTGAACTGGGTGGCATGATATTGGGATTGTTGAAAATACTATTAATATAGAAAAAGACTAAGCTTATACTTTAAGTATTGTAGTTTGGTGACTTCTCGCAAGCAAGCATGATCAAAGAAGCAAGTGAGGTGACACAGAGACACAAAGGCCCCGTTAGGAGGAAGGAGTTTCGGGTGGGTGGCAGGTAGAGAAAAGCCAGGACCTTCTCCCAGGCCAGTGGAGTTCAGTCCCACTGTGTAATGTGTTTTTCACTTAACCAAGTGTTTTTCATTCCTAAAACTAACCAAGTGCCTGGTGTGGCAAAGTGTGAAGAAACTGTGACGGTTTAATAACAGCATGTTTCAGTTTCCATAACAACAAAAGTCTGTAAAGTTTGTCAGTGCGATGTACAGGTGCATCTCAATAAATTAGAATATCGTGGAAAAGTCCATTTATTTCAGTAATTCAACTCAAATAGTGAAACTCGTGTATTATATAAATTCAGTACACACAGACTGAAGTAGTTTAAGCCGTTGGGTCTTTTAATTGTGATGATTTTGCTCACATTTAACAAAAACCCACCAAATCACTATCTCAATAAATTAGAATACCTCATAAGACCTATAAAAAAACATTTTTAGTGAATTGTTGGCCCTCTGGAAAGTATGTTCTTTTAGGAGGAGAGTGAAAGACATGTTTCTGGGGCTCCTTTTGCTTTAATTACTGCCTCAATTCGGTGTGGCATGGAGGTGATCAGTCTGTGGCACTGCTGAGGTGGTATGGAAGCCCAGGTTT